TAATAAGTAAATAATTATAATAAAAAAAAATAAATTTTAATTATTAAAAATATATTAAGAAGCTTAGAGGCCTGATGCTTATGGTTTCCATTAAATTGAATCCTTCAGACCTTTGGGTCTGGTATTAAAACCGAACTCTGTGATGGAGAGTACATGAATTTATTTCCCTATTAGAAAGCAAATGGAATAACATCAATTAATTTCTCTGCTATATAGTAATTCCTTGCTTTTTTGAACCATTTTTAGTTGATTCTAGCTTTCTTCATGCTCCAAGCGTTCAACTTCTCCACAATAACTGCCTCAGTTCCATTATTGAAAGCATATAAATAGGCTTGATCATCAATGGCTAATGTAGGATAAACTCTAGCTGTAATGCAACCTTTGCCACCTCCACCAAAGCTCTCCACTATAGAGTGATCAATCTGTAAAAGGAAGGATGTGGAATTGAACACAAGAAAAATTTCCCAAAAAGGGAATGAAACAAAGCTGGAACTCGTCCAAATCCAGGCAGAATTAATATGTCATAAAAGAGGTTTGTTTCGATTTTTTGGAACAAGCAAACTTGACCTTAATTGGGACAAAATTTTGCTGCCCTTTTAGATAGAACTTCCTTTTATGGACCCGTTTTTTCATATTTTTTCTTCCATATATAACTTAAGATCAACTTACCAAGCTCCTCAAAGACAACTTCTGATGAACAGGATCCACATCCACAAAAGTCCCATATGTAGTCATGTCATTACTTTGATCCAGAGAGGACCTATATGCAATAAAGGAACAAGATTTCAAAATTATGTATATGCGTGTGTGCACGCGTGTTTCAAAATTATGTACATGTGTGTGTGCACGCGTGTTAGAAAGAGTTGACGTAAGAATTGAGAGAAAGGGAAAGCAAGGAAATTAAGACCTGCTTTGGTCACTGCACATGAGAACCACATATTTGTCCTTTCCTTTGAAAATTCTAAAGAAGATTGCGGTGTGCTCTTTCAAATCCTTTGAAGACAAAACCAGCAACCCAAATGGACCCAGACTGCCCCTAACTGATGCACCCTTTTGGCTGCAAAGGTCTTGTGGGTTGGTCCACTTGGGTTCCAGCACCTCAGCTTTCTCAAGCTCAGTTATTCCAAATGAAATATCAACATCTGCCTGAAAGAGGCAAAGAAAGCAAACAATTTAAGGACTAAAGATTAAAGGACATTCGGCATTAATACCCAATTGATGTAGTGGGGCAGGAGAAACAAGTTAAATGGCTATGGCACAGAGATATGACAACCATAAAATCCTTTAATTTGCACCCATTTATTTTGATTAAGACTGAGAACTCAACTTGAACTGCTGTAACACCAGAAATTTCAAGAACTGATCCTCCCTTGAGCAATTTGCTCACCAAGATTACTTGTTTTGCACGTAGTTTTTCTATCTCTTGTACTGGCCACTGCACCAGTTGTTTCCCAGACTGGGCTAGCCAAATTTTCCTTGGAACCGCCTGCAAAATGAGACCAATGTAGGGTTTGAATCCAACTTATTCAAATACAAATAGTGAGGTTAGATAACCTCAAAGTCAAGCACACATGAATTAGTATTTAATTAATCTACATAAAGCTTGTTTTATATGGTATGTCAACTCGATATTATTATACCTTTGCTAGATTATTTCCGTGTTGGTTGACATGTCATTTAGAGAACAATAGTTTGACATTAAAACATTGTAACAGATGAAAAATAAGAGAGTTATCTCTTGTTATATAAATCGATAACAAAAAAATTAAAAATAAAAAAATTACCTGAACCCCAGACCATCCTTTCTTGATATCAGCAGCCACACTAGACGATTCATTAATCCAACCCCACAAGACTCTTCGGTTCTTCTCACTATCAAAGAAGGTCTTGGAAGCATAGAATTTTCCATAATCATATCTTAAACCTAAATCACTATCTACGGATCCCTGGTCTGGAACATATATGTCCTTGGCAAGATCATATGTCCCAATGGTGTAGTGCTCATACTTTTTATCATCCAAGCTGGTCTTAAGAACATGTTTAAGTTTAGAACCCACAGCAGAGGTATCAAGCCCACGATGGGAAACAGTAGAAACAGGGTAAAAATCAGGGCACTCCCACATCCCAGTGCCATTGACAGAATGCAAGGACCGGGAGGACTGGACCCATTTAACAAAATCCTTGCTTTTGAATAGAATTGCTTTTCCTAGGCTATTGATTTTGCTTCCTATGATCACCCTCCATTGCCTATCAGGGCCTAACCAAGCTGTGGTGGGATCTCTGAATGAGCTTGAATTGATTTGGTTTTGGGCATTTGGTGCCATTAAAGGGTTTTCTGGTGACTTTACCCACACTCTAAGGTAAGGGTCAGACAGATTTTTGGGCATGGCCAGGTTTTGGACTTGTCTGTTTTCTGGGTCAATGCCGGTATAGAGAATTACCGGCTTGTCACCGAGAAGGATGGTGGCTGAGCCAGACCAACAACCGTTGATGTCAGACTTCTGGGTGGGGTAGATGGCTATATCATGAGGGATCCAATTCACCAGATCAGTTGATGTAGAGTGAGCCCACACAATGTTGCCCCACAC